GAAGAACCATGTAGACGTTCCAAAACATACAACAAGTATGATTATCTTCCACTTACCTGCACGAAAAACTCCTTCATGCAGAAATTTGTGTCCTTATGAAGGTTGTACGTAGAAATTATTGAGGGTGGTGCTCCCATCTGAAATATGAGGTCTGCATATTAACCATTATACGAAGAATGTTGGACTCATATTGTTTCCCTCAAGCTTCGTTCCCACGACGAAGTGCTTTGCTTTGAATCACCTTGTCGGGATGCGCCATGCGCTTACTTACCGTCAGACTTGAGGTGACATTCAAATGGATGTTAGACAACTCTCACTTCATTGGTTTGATTCAATCTGTCAATTTCCTCACTTCCGTCATATTCATTGTGTGCGCTTAAGAATTGTCTTCGGGGTTTTTAAGGTGTACATATTATGAAGTTTGCAGTTGACAAGCAGAGCCGTTTGATTTCGCGTCAAGTTAAATAGAATGTACCATTGTACGTCCTACATCGCACATCACGCGCTGCGACTCGTCCGCTGACTCTGCCTTCTTGCCGCGCGACGGGCCTCCTGTCGGGTACCCGGAAGGATAAAGCTGCCAAGAGCCTCTCCATATGCGCACATCTATCCTTGTTCGGCAACCAGAGGGATATCGTAGCGCTGAGTATCTAGAGACATTAGAAGTTTAGGTCAAGGTATCGTCAACACATTGTGCTCTTCCCTTACTGAATCAATGTACCGTATGGCTGATCAAAAAAATCATGAAGACCACGGGTAGGGCTAGAACCGATCCCCATTAGCGTACAATGAGCGCTGTGTCATTTACTCAGCTTACAGTACCTCATAAACTAGATAAGCCCATCCAGTTTTGTTGATCTTATAGTTGAGCGCTTCAGCAATATTCTCCACGCCGTGATATTGAGTGAAGACCTGATCAGCCGTGTCAGAAACGTCAGGATCTATGCAGAAATCTGGAAAAATTGGAGATTTTTCGTATCTTCATACCTCGGACAAATATCACTCACTGAAATCGTCGTCAGCTCTCTGCCCTTCTTTTGTGAAGGCTTCAATAACGCGTTTCTCATTGGGCATACTGTAGCTCTTTACTGTGAGTGATGCTAAAAAAGAAACGATTATTAAAAAGCTGCCAA